TCCCGTGACCTCCTTGCCGTGCTTGCAGGTGAGCAGGGAGACCGGTGGCGAGGGCAGCGCCCACCAGGCAGGTTTGCATAGAACAGGCATAGCTTGCATTACGCAGCTGGCAGTGACTGTCAGCGGCACCATGGCAGGCCTCAGCTGCCAGCGTTGGGCTGTGCCATTGGTTGGCAGTGGCTGGGCAGTAGGGTGCGTGGTCCAGCAAGCGATGGCATTACACAGCACAGAGGCAACGCACAAGCTTATGTGAACAGCAACAAAACCAACGACACCCCTCAAGGCTGTCTGAGGCAGTGGCGCGTTTGATGCCGCGGCGGCAACAACCTCCAGTCCACACAGCCCTCAGGCCTGCCCCGCTGGCACACACCTCACTGACGCAGATCACCCACAGAGGAAGGCCCGTGCAGGCTGGGGGTGGAGCAGCGCCCTGGTTGCACCACACACATGCGACCGGCCCGCGGTTGCCGCCATGCCAGGGCCTCTCCTTCTCCCTCCCTCACAACACGCCTCACCAGCACAAGATGCAGAAATTACACAAGTGGTGGTGTGGCTCGGTAGGGTACCTGACGGGCCCTCAAAACACAGCACCAGCCCCCTGATGGTGCTGTCTCGAGCGCAGCAGCGACGCGTGCCCTCCTGGCAGCGCCAGCGCATGCTCGCTGCCTGGCGCTTCCTCCAGTTCATGCTCCTCTGACGACGAGCGCCGTAGCTGGTGGCACAGCGGCAGGTCCAGCACCCCTGTGGGCGTGTCTGAGGCCGGTGCATCCTGCCGCAGCTCCTCCTTGATCGCCAATGCTGTCCCCGCAACAGGTGGCTCCGCGGGCTGTTGTGGCGGGGTGCTGCTGCCGCGGGGTGCTGCTGCCGCGCCTGCCTGCTGCTCAACCAGACTCCCACTTGCACGGTAACTATCGGCAACAGCTTGGCCATGCCGTCTCAGCATCTCCTCCGCTAATGCCGCCTGCAAGCAGCATTTGCAAGCCAAGCACGGGTGCAGCACAACGAACATAGGCAGGCAGGCATAATACAAGATTCACGAGGCAAGAGGCAACAGCAGAATTCAAGCGGGCCGCCAAGCAAGCGCCTGCAGGTTTCCCCAGCCTGCCCTCAGTCCCATCCACCACACATCCCTCACGCAGCTCTCCCACACTCCCACACTCCCACACAGCCCTCAAGCTCACCAGCTCCAGCTGCGCAGGCTGCACACAGGTCGGTTGCCGGCACGCCCCGCATCTCCTCCACCACCCGCGCAGGCGCTCTATGCGTGCAAGCTCCACAATCCTGATGGGCGACGCTCAAGGGCCGCGCTCAGCTCCTCCTGCGCCTGCCGCGCCTCTGACCCGGTAGAACCTGGCGC